TAAAAATCTACGATGAACAACCTTATTCTCCTGTTCTCCTATTTGAATTTCTGAATCTCATAATAGCTGTGATCCTTTGAAAGGTATTGCCTAAATGGCTTCTAAATCTCCCAGGGAAGTTCTGGTAGTTGTCCAGTAATGGCTCATAGCCTCCTATCAACAGTTACTATTGATACAATTAATACCTACCTACCTATTTACCATTAAAGAAAGATACAACACATTTGATTTTGCTGACTAGTATGTTTATCAATTGGACATAAATTCTGCTTTCCATACACACATACACACACACACACACACAAATGTAATATCTTTTTTGAACAATCATTTTTGCATTCTGGTATGCTGTGAATCTTGGACACATTGTTAATTTATTGTCACAAAGGTAATGAAGCCAAATACACTGAAGGCTTCTGATGCAAAAGCAATATGGTATGAATAATCCTACTGGTCAGTGATTAAAAGTAAATAAACTTTGGTGGCCCCTTCCAGCCACAAAAGCATTTTCAAGAGGAGCCAAGACCTTGTAGAAACAAGAGTACTGAAAAAGAAAACATCAAAGATGCTTCCCCATGTCAATTTCAGAGAAATTGCAGAGGCCACAAAGACAGCAGGAGGAGAACCAAACATTGAGCCAAGCACCCAGACAGAGAAACACAAACACATTTTAAAAAAAAACTTGGAAAGTTTTCAGAGAAAAGAAAGTACCCCTATCCTGCCAGTTCTAAAGTCAGAAGGAAAAGGTGTCTCTCACTCCCACTCTTATTTTTTTTGGGGGGGGGGGGGGAATAATGGGAGGGGAAATTGGCCCATAAATACCAATGTGGAAAAACTGACAGGCTTTTGAAAAAAGCCAGATATCCACATGGATTGCATGAATAAAAATTTATATAAACGAGAAGACTCAAAAGGAGGAGGCAACCCAAATCCAAAGCTTTAGTGGAAGATTCACTTGGTTTGGCAGAAGAGTTCGGGAGATAAATCATCATTATTGTGGTTGCTCCACTTACATATGATGCAGTAGTGAGCAGACCTCAGCTGAAAGTTGTGATTCTAAACAAAAAACAGGTCAAGTTGTTTGGAAGCTCACTCTGAGCCTTGGATCCTACATTTTGAATATTTGGAATAATGTCTACAGTACACTGTGCCATTTGGAGGCAGGCTGACTTTTCAACTTCATCATTGTTCATGTGCTGTTATTTTTTAATTTATTATGTCTCCTGTCTCTTTGAGGAGAGGAGGAAAAATAGGTCATGATGTTGGATTCAGTGGCATGTCAGTTTTTTGGGGGACTCCAGATTCAAAGTATTCAAGATGTCTCCTAATTTACAAAAAGAGAAAAACACAGGAAGAGGTGACCTAATAGGCAAGATTAGGTTCACATCCTGTCCCATGTCACAAGAGAGATCAGCTTGCTTTTGGCGTAGCACATTGCAGGAGATTGAACACAGTAGCTTATAAAAGCATGATTCCTGGTTTAGTATCTTGTATAAGCCAACTCTAATTAACAAAAAAGAATTGTTAAACCCTAGAGTAGTATGGTATTTGACTTTAACCACTACTTTGTGAAAGTCTTTAATAAGATTTGGTTTTAGTGGAATAAAATTGGAGGGATGAAATAAGTGGGAAAACCCTTTTATGGGATGATGTCTGGTTAAAAATCAGGACTGAAATAAACAATGGACATACACAATGTAGGTGTGTAACATATGAAGTCTGCAAGGATTTGCATAAACCCCTTGCTCTTAAGGCTGGAGTGAGTATGGTTGGACCCGTGTATGGATGATACTAAATTATTCAGAGGAGAGGAAACCAAAAGAATTGTAAGCCACTCAGAGTCACCTTATAGGGGAGATGGGAGCATGAAAATGTAATAATAAATTAAAATAAAGAAACACCTCCAGAATAATGCTGCAGCTTTGACTCCTTCCTTACATTGGACATAGACCAATTCAATTCTCCCTCTCCTAGAAATTAGCACTTCAGAATGAAATACCCTGAAAAAATGTGAAATCTCATTTCTGGGGCTTGAGGAGTTTCTCTCCCCCCTCACTTGTGCAAGAGCATATTCTCACATCCAAAGTATGAATAAGTCAACATGGATAAGCCAGTGTAATTTGTCTTCTGCCTCCCCAAAGTTCATTATGATTTATCACTGAAACTGTGCAATGAACTCCATTGTGTAAACAAAAGCTGAAGTCATCAAGGCTTTGCTTTCTTGGCCATTGTCAGCTTTCCCCTAGAAGAAGATAGAAACTCCCTACAGTGTAGACTTTTCACAGAGAAATGATTCCTAGGGAGCCCTGTCGGTATGTGTTTATCTCCCACTGGATATGTTCACACATTTGCAGTGTTGCCAGTCACGATTTGCTTGCCTGATGCTTCCTCTCCATGAGCAGCAGAGCTGCAAACCAAAGACCCATCTGTGGCTTTACTTTCTAGCCGCAAATGTCACACAGTGATTGCCTTTGGTCAGAAGAACCATTTGCTGGATGTTTGTTTTCGTCATACGTTTCTTCTGTGTGTTTTGAATGGAAACAATAACCCCAAATAAAGTATAAAAACCTGGGCTGCAACTGGGTTATTGAGAGGAAGAGTCATCGAGTAGATTCATGGCTAAACTATGGAAATGCCCCCACAAAAAGGCAAACCAAGCTAACTCTTTGATAGAATAGAAAAGAATTATTTATTGGCCAAGTGTGATCGGACACACAAGGAATTTGTCTTGGTGCAAATGCTCTCAGTGTACATAAAAGAAGAGATACATTCATCAAGAGTCAATAATCATAAGGTACAACACTTAATAATAGTCATAGGATACAATAAGCAATCAAATCATGCTAGGAAACAGTCAATATAGATCGTAGGGATACAAGTGACAAAGTTACAGTCATACAGTCACAAGTGGGAGAGGATGGGTGATGAGGAGTGATGAGAAGATTAATTGTAATAGTAGTGCAGACTTTATAAATAGTTGGACAGTGTTGAGGGAATTATTTGTTTAGCAGAGTGATGGCATTTGAGGAAAAACTGTCCTTATGTCTAGTTGTTCTGGTGTGCAGTGCTCTAGCGTCGTTTTGAGGGTAGGAGTTGAAACAGTTTATGTCTGGGATATGAGGGGTCTGGAAATGTTTTCACAGCCCTCTTTTTGACTCGTGCAGTATACAAGTCCTCGATGGAAGGCAGGTTGGTAGTAATTGTTTTATCTGTAGTCCTAATTACTCTCTGAAGTCTGTGTCTGTCTTGTTGGGTTGCAGAACCAAACCAGAAAGTTATAGAGGTGCAGATGACAGACTCAATAATTCCTGTGTCGAACTGTATTAGCAGCTCCTTGGGCAGTTTGAGCTTTCTGAGTTGGCACAGAAAGAACATTCTTTGTTGTGCTTTTCTGATGACGTTTTTGATATTAGGTGTCCATTTTAGGTCATGTGATATAGTGGAACCTAGAAATTTGAAGGTCTCTACTGTTGATACTGTGTTGTCTAGTATTCTAAGAGGTGATATCCATCTTTCTAAAACTAGGCTGAGTTCTTTACAAATACGTCTAATCATTATTTTGTTTCACATTGCAAAAAAAAAAACTATAAAGCTTTCATGTATGTTTTTATGACATATGTATCTTTCTTCATCCATGGAATGCCACACAAAATAAAAAGGACAAATAAGGATAGGCATGACCTCTCTTAGGCATTGACCTAAGCCAGATCTATTTTGCTTCAATCATGCATCCTCGTTATCTGCTTCCAACAAACACACCAATGAGGCCTCTACCAAAGCCAACAAAAAGTCTTTTCAACCCTCTGAAAGGCAGAAAAAGTCATTTTCCATCAGCTTCATTCCTCTTTTCTCTGGAGATCCTGAAGATAGAGCGAGGCCTGAGAAATTGACTCAAATGAAAGCTCTGAGAAAAGGAAGGATTTCTGGAAAATGAATGGTTCTATCAGCTTTTAGCTGGATTAGAAAACCCTGTGTGCAGAATTAAGTTTGGAAGACACTCCTAATTACCACAAAGGGTTCATCTACATAAGATCACTGAAACAGGGAGGGGCATATTGTGCCCTGCACTCCTAGGTCAGATGTGCACTGTTCCTTTATTCAACCCATTAGTAATTTGGCAGAGTAGCAGCCATGGAGCAAGGGCCTAAACCAGGTGACCCCATCCTTATTTTGAATCAAGGAGAGAAGCAACCTAGAACTAAGGAGAAATTTCCTGCCAGTGAGAACAATTACTCAGTGGAACAGCTTTGCCTCCAGACTCCAGAAGTTGTGGAAGCTCCAATACTGGAGGTTTTAAAGAAGCTATTGGACAGCCTTTGGTATGAAATGGTATAAGGGTCTCCTGTTTGACCAGGGGCTCGGATTATAAGACCTCCAGGGTCCCTTCCAACTCTTATTATTCTGAAAGTAAAAAGTTGGAACTGGAAAATAGTGGCTCTAGCAGTCCTTCCCCCCACAGAAGGACAGACAGGCTGTCTGTTGGACTGTGTAGCATCGTTGCAGTTGTGCAATTTTATGTTACACAAATGTTTCATCGGTTTGGGGAGAGTGTATTTTCTTTTGCTGATAGGTTTACTGTTTCTTTTTCCTTTGTTCTAAAAAAAATTGCCTTTAGCAGTGACTGTAAGGAAGAGCAGAACCAAAGTGGAATGATGACCTAAAAGCAGAAACAGTGATAAATGCACAGAGGTTTTCCTAATTTCTAGATCTGTTCCACATTATTTTCTAATGGAAAGAGGTCTGATGGGGAAAGAGCTGCCGTACATGCCTTGATTTATGATTTCATCCTTTTTCTTCCAAAGAAAGGATTTGTATATTTAATCTCACAGGCAGGCTAAAATTAATGGCAGACATGAGGTGCTCTGTGCACAGCTCTGGATGGCAAGTTTTTTTTTCTTCCTTTCCTGTTCCTGAAACGGCTCGGCGTTGTCATCTTTATATCAAGCTTTGCTCTCGGTGCCAACTTTTCCTTCCCCCTTCTTCCTCCTCCTTCTCCTATAATTGTGTGCGTTCAGAAAGAGCCAGCATTCGTCGGCTCAGAAACTTCAGTTCCTGGGCGGACCCCACACACTCACACAGCTGGATTTGAAACAGCTGGATCTGCCTCCCCTTCACTGTTAGCAAGGAGCCTCACAAGCCCTGGACAGGCTGGCTGGCGGGGGATGAACCGAGCAGCACCGCAAAACTGGGATTTGGTTGCTGGCAAGATCCAGAAAATGGGTTACTGGAGGAGGCTTCCTCAGCTTCTGCTATTGCTACTTCAGCTCTGTAAGTAAGGAACTAACTTTCACTGTTTATTTTCCTTCTCTTTAAGCTTCTTTCTCCTCTGTGGGTGATTAGCTGAAGGAGACGGCCGAGAGGTTGGAGAATTTAGAATAAACTGACTTGAAAATCTAATCTGTGCTTCTTTTCAGCAAGCGGTTGGTAATTCACTTCAGTTCTTCAGGTTCTTGAAGGCAACACAGTCATTGCCGTAGCCAGGTCTGGGTCGGCATTAAAGTTACGCAAGAGAACTTTTTAGAAACGGCAGTTCAAAATTGTTGATTATATTTAACCAGACTTAATCCAGCCGAGACGATTGGTTGAATGGTTGCGAGTTCGGCATATTTGAATGCTGAGATAGTTACAGCAGTCCTCTTCACCACCCTCTTTTTCCCATGCACTTTCACAGATTTAAGCAGAGAACTAATTAAGCTTAAGTAAACTATTGAGAAGTGAAAGGCACATTTGGGCAACAGCATCTTAACTATTTGAAGCTCAGCGCAGCCAGCACATAAGCAAATAATTCCTTGTTACGCATGTTCTGTTTATATGTCTATAATGGTCTGTTACAATTCCCATGCCGGACTTTGGAAAAACAGCCCCACGATACTACAAAGGCTACTTCCTTGGTTTATAACTTGAAGGCACTAACCCAGAGATGCCATATGCAAGTCAAAAAAAAAAAAGTATACAGACTTCTCAGATGTGCGTACTCTAAGGTATATAACACCTGCAAATATGTATATTTATATGGAATTTGTATATTTTACTGACACACCCCATTTCCATTAAAACCAGATTGTTCATAGTTCTGAGAAATCCAAGGTGAGAACTTCCAGGAAAGGACTTCCAAATTATTAGGTGTGCCAATCCTGTGCGTTCAGTGTTCTATGAGTAAAGGTTTCCCTGTGCTGCTTATTCCAGCTTCTTTGGAAGAACAGACCGTGCACGAGGCTGTTCTTCAAAACTAACCTAGCAACCTAGAACTAAGGAGAAATTTCCTAACAGTGACAACAATTAACCAGTGGAATGGCTTGCTTTCACTAGTTGTGGGTGCTTCCATCACTGGAGGCTTTAAAGAAGAGACTGGACAGTTACTGGTTTGGAATGGAATAAGATCTCCTGCATGGACTAGAAGACTTCCAAGATCCTTTCCAACTCTGTTATCTACAGATAGTTCTTGTCTGGTGATCTTTTAGAATCCAGCTATATTGGCATCATTTACAAAACTATTGGGAAGCATTCCTGCTGCCCAAAATACTATACAAGCTGGAGTTTCTCATGTTTCTTCTTGATTGCTGAACTGGACAACCAGATCAGTGATGAACTATTGAATGTAGGAACCTATACACAAAAACCTATACAGAGCTGTCCATACAGGCCTAATCCAACTGATCCAGTAGTACTCATTACAACTTGCAGTAGATCTGCAAGGCCTTAGGAAAAGGCACCATCTGGGATATTTTAAAGATATTTTTGACATATTTTTAATTTGAAAAAAAAAGCAGAGGATGAACTTCCTGCATGTGACTAAGCTATGACACTTGCCTAAATAGATTTACCATTTTTACAATGGCATTTTTCTGTTTTATTTTCCTCCAGAAGATACGTAGACATACACATATCTTTTAATGTGCTAGAGATGACAACTAGAAGTTGGATACGGGTGTTTTTTTTAATTTATTTCCACTAAAACAGCCTTCCAAAAAAATCAGATTAGAGATGTGTAGCGTTGCAGTTCCTATCATATCCATATGTCTGAGGAGCTAGAGGAATTAAGTCCACATGAGGACACCAGTGGGGGAGACTGCTATAGGAGAATGTCTCTGATTGAGGCTAAACTGGAAGTTCAGAAAATAGGATGCAGAGCAGAAAGGAAGAGATGTATTTTATAGGATTTTGTGCAACTTTTGCCAAGAAATGTTGCATCACTCCTACTTAGCTCTTTTAGGAATTAAAAGAAGGTCCAACATAACTCATGGGTATCAGCAGCTAGAAACAGCTAACCTGAGTTAAGATTACAAGCCCTGAAGCTTATCTGCAGGTCTGCAGAACTCAGTACATAGAACTGTGCACAGGAATAGGTTGTCAAACAGGACCTATGCACATCTATTTGCAGAGACTAAAGGTAAAAGAGGAGAATAGTTCAAATCTTTCCCATTAGTTTCAGTGAGATCCTAGGCGTGGCTGAATGCTGGTCATCGGCATCTTCATGCTCACCGGCTTTCTTGAATATAAAATGTAAGCCAAATTAAATTCAACAGCTCGGTTTGCATAAAGTAAAAATAAATCCAGGTAAACTAGGGCACCACCATCACCAATACACAACACCACTTTCTGGATCATTCATATGCAGTTATTTAACTTGAGTTTATTGTCTTCCAAACAGAGCACTCAACACTTTGGGTTTACAGAAACTGTAATTAGTAACCAAATGTCAGTTAAGAGCCGTGATGGCACAGTAGTTAGTATGCAGTACTGCAGGTTACTTCTGCTGCCTGCTGGCTGCCTGCAATTTGGCAGATCGAATCTCACCAGGCTCAAGGTTGACTCAGCCTTCCATCTTTCCGAGGTGGGTAAAATGAGAACCCAGATTGTTGGGATCAATATGCTGACTCTGTAAACTGTTTAGGGAGGGCTGTAAAGTGGTATATAAGTCAAAGTGCTGTTGCTATTGCTAAATTGGTTGCTAAACAAGGACTAACAAAAGTCTGAGTATGGTTATCCCCTCCCTGTCTTTGCCTTTGTGAGAATTAGGGAAGGTCAAGTCTGAGATCCTTTCTCAAATTACATTTCTTCCTTGAACTCAATATCTTTTATCTGACTATTATCTTGGTTGCACTTCATCTTAAGGCTCCTCCAGGTTATTCCTACTGCCCACTATATCAAGCCACATCCCATTATTATTGTCCTTAAATGTTGCTATCCAATGGGACCTGGGAAGGGTGTAGTACCTCCTGCCCTACTGAAGAACTTTCTTCCTGAGATCCAGCAAACCCCTCACCTCTTTACCCTTTCAAAAAGCCATAAAAAGTTGTTTTCTTCCCCACATGTATGCGAAAGCTTGGAGCCTGAGGATTGTATGGATAGATGGGCTGCATATAGTGAGTCAGGCACTTAGGATTGTTGCTTTTATGTTTCTTGCAAGCTGTCCACAATTGTGTTTTATACCATGGGCAGCAGCACACAAATCAAATCAATCAATCAAATAAACACACTATTAATACCAATAAAAATAAGCAGTAATTTTATTCATATCTGAAATGTTTCGCATTTAGGTAAACTTTGGATGAGAGGCTATGTCTCTAGCAGATGGATAATCAATTCAATCTCGGCAGCAAACCAGATATATAGAACAGGCAATCATATAAGATCAGCTAAGCCTCCAGAACTTTAATTTCTGTCTTTAATTTGCAAATGGGCATCTTTCCAGAATCACTGGAAAATGCTGAGGAATATTCTCACCAGATGTACAGGAACAAAGTCTTTGGGTTGCTCTCCATTGAGCACATGCTTTTCTTCTTCTTCTTCTACCATCGTTATCATAATCTGCCCCTCCCCTACACACGAGTATTATCATCACCACCACCATTGTCTTCAATCCATTTCACAAAAAGAAAATTATCTAGTTCTCCCCAAACCAAGGAGACGTGGATTATTGAGGTTCTTCTAGCAGAAAACTTTGAAAGAACTAGGGGCGTTGAATCAGTGTACTTGACATATTCAATCCCCTGAATTGAATGCATCCCTTTGTAGATGAGTGGAGGCACAAAGCCAGCTGAGTGATTTTGGGCCAGTCACTTTCTCTCAGTCCTAGGAAAGAGGCAATGCCATTTCTGAAAAACGTTGCCTAGAAAATTGCAGGGACTTGTCCAGGCAGTTTCCAAGTATTGGATCTGATTAAACAGAAAAAAAAGGAACAATAAAATTGAGAGCCACTTTGGTGCAGTGGTTAAGATTTACAACAGAAACTGAGGGAGTGTGAATCCTAGTCCCACTTTGGGCATGAAGCCAACTGCTCTCAATCTGTCAATCCGAGGAAGCTGGCAAGAGCAAAACACTTGTGTGAATTCTGTTCTAAAATAGCCAAAGGACACCATGTTGATTATTCCCATAATATATTTATTTCTCTTATACTTGATGAGGAAGTTGCATCAGGAACATGGCTTAGTTGTTTCTGCCCATTATAGGTTAATGCATCACAGTAAGTTAAACCAAATAAACCATGTTATTAATGGTTTGATGTGTTTTGTGAAGCCATTTGGTTGGGGTTTAGTCACTAAGGCAAATCAGGATTGTACAAAGCAGGTCTGTTCTTCACTAGGAGGAAGTAGCTATCAGGAAAAATTCCCGGTTTATTTAGCACCTCATTGTAACAAACTCAAGGTTGCGGAAGCCCAACTCAGCACAACAGGATTTCCTTTCTGTACGAAGGACATCATGGCTTCCATCTCTTATATGGAGTTCACAAAAGTCATTAGAGATTTGCTTTTCTTCATTGGTGATCATAATGGCACTTCCATCAGCCTCCTTTACTCTCCCCATTTGTTCAACCATCTTTTCATCGATCACCTGTGATTTAATCTTTGGTTTTGGGGCAATTGTGTTTAATTGCTATTGGGAAATAGCACTTTCAAGAAGCAAAACTAGGTAGCATCCAGCTCCAGGGTTTGTTGATGCTATTTTAAAAAAATGAAAAAGAAGCTAATTCGAGATCTTTGATTATGTTTCCTGCAGAAATAACTCAGACTATGTCAAATGAAAAATGATATTTAAATTTCATTTAAGTAGATATTTAAAAATTCAAAACAACAGTCTTATATAACACTTTTCATTTATATGTTTGCATTTTGCATATGTTTTGCTTGTGTTATGTTAGTAAAGTCCAAAAAGATCCAATGTTTACATGCAGAGTTCTTCAAATCCTTTTACTTGAAAGCCAGGAATCAAAACCAAGTGCATTTTTTTCAGTCAGCACTGTATTTCTCAAATTTGGAAGCTTTGGA